ATATATATATATATATATATACATAGATATATAAATATAGATAAACAGATATAGATAAATAGATATAATTTTTCATTATAATATATTCTTTACACCTAGCTGGAATCTAGCGAAACATTTGTAGGTAAAGAAAAATGTCACTATATTATTATAAGCAAAGCACCAACAAAATACATTATAGTCTAACGCGATTTACAAACACGATGCTATAATTTATACTATTATTTATGTAACAATACACTTTTAATTGTATTATTAATATTTTAATCATAAAATACATATAAACCTTTTTATTTCACTTACATTTGGATAATATTTATAGGCGCATTTCTGTGTGAATTAATTATGTAAAAGACGGTTTTTATATTTTTATATCTTACATATATTTTTTTTTATTTTATATCTTACATATCATTTTTATATTTGAATGTATCTTACATATATTTTTATATCTTACATATAATTTTTATATTTTTATATCTTACATATAATTTTTATATTTTTATATCTCACATATAATTTTTATATTTTTATATCTTACATATATTTTTATATCTTACATATATTTTTATATCTTACATGACGTGATATATTGTTACTCCTACTAACTATCTGAATTAACTGACTGAAAATAATATTTTAAAAAAAAGAACCTGAAAACCGTGTTTTTAACTTCTCATCTAAAACAACGAAACAACATTGGTAAGAATGTATCAAGGCATAGTTTTAAAATTCAAAAGAACATTCGTTTAAAAAAAAATGTTCGATATATGCTATGCATGTAAAATTGAGATTCATATTTTATAAATAGTTTATTTATATTTAAAGTTAATTCAAAATACATATTCAGAATTAATGCGCGAAACAAAAAATAAATTCCTAAAGTGTCTAAACATGACTTTATCCTAGTTTGATTTACAATTTGAAACACATTTCTATGATTTTAGATTGATGCTTTGTATATTGCCAATATTATATTAACTAATAGTAAGGGTAATTGACTCTTTTTCGTTTTTTATAATGATGCTTGTTATTTTAATAATGTTTTCAAATATAAAATAAGTTGATAATTCAACACAATAAAAATGTGTTAATTTTCTTTTTTTCTATGTATTTTTTTGAAAGTGTTAATTTGTTTAATTATATGTGTGTATTTGTTCATTATATTTACAGCTTTATCTCTCTCTATATATATACAAATAAAATAATGTACATGTGAGTGCATTCTTTTATGCATCACTTCTCCTTTTATTCGATCGCCGTAAGACTTTGGGTAGTCGATTAGAACACTTGGGTAAACATTTCTTTGAAGAAAAGGTTCAAATTATGGAGAGAAGAGCCACAGTAGAGTAGATTGGAACCCCGGGCTCCCCCTGATCACTATTAACCATACGTTCATTCAAAAAAGTGAAATACATGATGGAGACGATGGTGCACTATAATCGTACATTTGATAAAAAAAGTACAAATTCAAATACTAGCCTCAGTATGGCTTCTTGCTATACCAAAATCGCTTATAATGTCATTAAATGTCACTTTTTGCGAAAAGTCATCTTTAATAGAAAGCTTAGCAGAAGAAATAGTCGAGCTGTTCCATCGTTGACCGCAGATAATTATTTATGCATTTGAGTTTCAAAAAAGAACGTTCAATTTTAGCATAGGTTTAAAGTAAATGAAACATACTTATTTAAATTAGGAATACCATATTTACTTTAGTAAAACATTTTGACAGCTTATCTTCTATTTGTTCCCTAATCATTACAGCCACAGGTTTATCCACCAATCAATTATTGACAACGGATTATTCTCATCTGTAAATGCATCTTCCAGATAGTGGTCTATGAATGCAAAATTGCCAAGGGCCTAGGAAGACTTTAAGCGGCATTAAATAAAGAAATAATTTTCTTAGGATAAGTTGATTTATTATAATACTATAATATCATATTCTAAGGAGTTTTGAGAAATCAGAGACAAAGTAAAATGAAATTTCCGGTTAACGGATATTGCGCGAGCTTACATATAAGGCCTAATTAATATAAATACAATGTCGTCCCCTTAACAGAGAAGTTATCTGCATTTTAAAACAAGAAACGGAATTAAGTAATGCTAGTTTTATTTGAGAAACCATGTAATCAATAAAACACCTAACCAAAAGATATTTTACTTAAATTTCGAATATCGTCAATCTCAGTGAAACAGAACTAAAGTTATCGTGTTCACACTTAAATAGTATAAAGGGCCATTTCTGTTTACACAGATATGACAGAAAATATGTCATATATTGTATCTTTTATAATTAAATACGTACGCCTAGTAGTGATTTTCATCTAGCTCACTGAATCAGTACTCGTGTTACTAGTTTACTAGAAATCAACAAACTTCGAAAAAAAAATTTAAATTAGTATAAAATACTAATATATTTTTGTCCACCTAATTGAAAACTCAAAAAGTCCGTATTCAAAAATAAACATATAGAACTAAAAGACAGAAAAATAGAGAGGCAGGAAGGCAGAAAGGAAGAAAGCGAAAAAGACTAACTTACAAAAAGACTAAAGACAGAAGCAGAAAGGCAATAATAAAGTAGGTATATATGAACATTTAAAGATTGATAAATTGTAACAGACTGGCATATCAATCGCAGTTTGTAGCAATCATTTGGCCTTAATATAAAAAAGACGAAAATAGCAGTTAAAAACGCTTGTTTTCACGAATCTCTAAAATTAAAAAAAAACCATGTCGACAGAAATAGTGTTACCGATATTTACATATTAAACAACTTGTTCTTTTTTGTTAATTTTTTAAAATACTATTTCGTAGAAATTATTAAAACATGGCTTCAAAAATAAAATTCGTTTATTTTCCCAAATATCATTAAACGCCTGTTCAATTTCGCCTAACCTTTCATATTTATTTAACATGTCATAAAATGTACTGACAACAACTTGAGGTTAATACATAGCAACAGTAATACATCATATAAAATAGTACTATTTCCTATATTTTACGTCTTCTCAATATGTTTATGTCTCAATGTGTTTATTCTTTTCTTGGAATATCCTGAAATTATAAAAACGAGTTTAATTTTACGAATAGTTGGGTTCTTCTATCTAGGGGCTTATATATAGCAACAGACAAATACAACGTATACAACAGTAGATAACACTAACACTCTATAATAATAATAATAATAATGCCCCAATAGTAAATTCCTTAACATAATCTTACTATACTCCTCAATAATACATTTCTCAATATCATTATACAGTAGTTGTCGTAAAACACTCGTGATAGAATGTCTGTTACAAAGTTCTCAGTTCCCTTGATATGTTTCACAGTACAGGCTAATTCCTGTAGTGCAAGGGCCCATCGTCAGATGCGTACGTCGCCATAGATGGTCATCTTTCCTTAAAGACGATCTGAGTTCCCTTCCCGATAGCCGTTTTAACTACATCATTTAACCCTTTATTTACGGAATTATGTTCTGAATGAGATTTTTACTTAAACAATGTGTTACTATATTGCTTTTGGCACATTCAAAGCATATATCGAAGGAAATTCCATTTCATAAATTTTTAATGGCCCAACATTTTTTTTTTACAAAACAGGAACAAACGATACAATTTATTAACTAATAACATGGCAATCATTATAACAATCACTTTTTGTAATTTTCACACATGAATACAGCACAAAAGAATATTTTGAGTACGATTTTTACTGGATTTTCTATCGGAACACATCTTAGACCTCAAACACAGCAAAAGTAGTCGACATGTCATGCTCCCTCAATCTTGTCTGTGGTCTTTCTGGTGTAGCAACGGTTGCCGGAATGAACATGATTTTGCTGGAAGCTTCCAATAGCTAGTACAATGAGCCGCATTAACAAACAAAAGCCTAGTCATTCAGCACGCAACTACAAGTAATACTAGTAAAATTGTACCCTACTAGAATGTTATGACAAGTCTACACTACAGTGCAAAGTTCATAAATAGAAGTGAGCTCAATGTGTTTAGGATAGCCGTAGTGGCCTACTCCTTTCTGTTTACTGATTAAAATTTACCATATTGATCTATACTATATGCAGAAGTATGGACTATTACTAGATTACATGTATACATTACGTATATGCTAGTTTTTGTAGGCAAGACAGTTTAGTGCAGTAAATATAACTAACAAATTAAATCTTACAACTAGAACTAGGCTTTGGTATACAAATGAAGTAAACTAAACCTTGTAAACGAGCCTGCAACTGATACCTTTATTCTTGTTATTTTTTACTACTAGAAATTAACATGTAATTACAATATTTCTTAGGTAAACCATATGCTAAACTTCTTATAAATGTGTAAATATCATTTTTTGAGTACATTTCGATAATTAATTATCAAGACAATAATTATGTAACTCCACATAAAAAATCTGCCATTTTCTAAAAATCCTAAAAATATGACCGTGTGCCCTGACGGTACTTATAAGTCCACTTGTAAACATCGATCTAATACAAAGACAATTTGATAAAAATTGTATAACTAGAAGTTAAATGCGTTTGCCTGACTATTGAAGTTGCCAATAAAAAATATTTGGGGTTGAAAACTTGAAAAATAAGGTAAAACAAAGGGAAATCAAGAACGTATGTGAGAAATGTACAGAAAAATTGTGAACTACCGATATAGCAAGACATTAAAAATGGCGCCACACCTGTAATTTTCAAAAAACATTGATACCTCCGACTACCGGCGACTCAGGGGAGATAATACTATTAATTACTTCAATAATTTTTAAAATTTGTATTAAATTAAAAATAATACAGGCATTTAATTAAAGTGGTACTTATAAGTACCGTCAGTAGATAAAGGGTTAACTCCAGCCTGTAATCATCGTACACAGCTTCTGTAAAAAAAAAAAAAAGAAAAATTAACATTTATTAAATAAATTATCTTTAACAATAAAACTTACCAAGTACACTACATTTGGAGGGATACGCCTCCCAATTTTGTGTTTTACCTCACTCTCATATGCGAGTCTTTAAGCAGGGAGAAAATTCCTAACATATCACGCTGAGCTGTGGGACACGCCCTTGATATGAGACCAAAACCACCGCAGCAATAACACTTGAGATCATCTAACCGTCGATGTACATTTTCAGTACGCCAGTTGCTCGCCCTACTGGTCCCGTTGGGACAGTTTCGTTGTATGTGGGCTGGCTTTCTACAGCTATAACAGGCGCCTGTATCTAAATACATACTGCACTCTTTGGCAATGTGACCTTGTTCATTGCACTTGTAGCACCAATAAGGTCTTTTGTTGTTTCCATACTCCACAACGGCTCTTTTATCTGACCTATTTCTCCAAGTAAAACCGCTACTACTATTGCTATGACAATCCCTGGCATAGTGTCAATGACGTCCACATGTGTAACATCTACTGCTCAGGCTGACCTTGCTAACACCATGTATAGGTTGTACACCAGCTAGTCATGCCTTCCGTTTACCTTATTCGTTCCTGTCCCGTCTAGGGGTGGGGCAGACTCCCGCGATATGATCGACTCCCCCGAATGTGTAGCACACAATTTCTTCCGTGGAAGGACAATTGTGGCGTCCTGAAGATCGCGGTGTCGTGTTTTGCCAGGGGATCCTCTCTACTGTCGAACTTGCAGTAGATAACACTAACGTAAGGGGTGGTTTGGGTTACTGGTCTCGTCACTCTAGCGTTTTGAGTGCTCCTATAGTTGTCAATAATTTTAAGATTATCTTCCACTCTTACCTTAGCAGCGTCATTCAGCCTCTCCAACAGATCACACGTGACAACCAAGTCCTCAAACGTTTCTTTTGTCTCCGACTGCCGGACCCACGCTCTCAAAGCGGCTTCTGTGTTGACTGCGAAGCTTCTCATGTCGTCATGTGTTGGTACTAGCTGGTGGAATCTGACCCTATAATTTTTCCTCGTTGAAACCTGCGTGCGTCCTTAACATTACCTTAACTGACTCGAAGTCATTGTGCAAGTTCAGTCCCGTCTCAACTAGGAAAATCTTCAAGTGGCCACTCATCTTGTCCGTCCGCAGAAGCGACCAGTCCTTGGGGTCGATACCTTGTCTCTTGGCTTGACTTTCAAAGTGTCTCTCGTAAGCACCCAGGTCCTCGTCTACCGCCATTGCCGCCACGTCCCTCAAGCGGGGTACAGAGTTACTTACCTTTACCACGACATCGCCCTTCACATCTTCTACCCTCCTCAACTCTTCCTTTACCCACACCGCCAAACTGTCATCACTCAGCCCGATTAGCTTCCCCTCCTCCTTCAAGTCACTGATTAACTGTCTTCTGGAACTCCTGGTGGTCTCCAAGTTAACCGGGCGGGCCCCCAAATGTTGGGTTCTTCTGTCTAGGGGTTTATATATAGCAACAGACAAATACAACGTATACAACAGTAGATAACACTAACACTCTATAATAATAATTATAATATTAATAATAATAAGATATTTAATATATATACAGTAATAAAATAATAAAAGATCAAATGGGGTCTACAATAATAATAACAATACTCAACACCAAGTTCCATGTCCACAGCCACACTACAACTAACTGCTTCACACACTGGTACACGCTCTGACACGTGTCACCTGACACACCTCATGTGAACACCTCTCGCTCCATGTAAACACACTCAACCAAGGGATACAACTATACACCAAAGGGAGGGTACCTATCGTTCCAGCACACAACACACACACACACAAACAGGGGACATGTAAGGGACGTAACACGAATAATTACCATATATACATAAAACACACAATTAATTGTGAATATGAGTACATAAAATAAACATGTTTTAAAAAGTATAGTTTAAACTTAAATACATATATGAAATCTTAATGTATACTTGAGCTAATTACATATTGCTCATCCAGTTGGTAATAAACATTGTGGTTGAGTTGGTAAAACAGTTTTTCTTTCGCTGTAATAAAATCGAAATTTTAAAAAATCGCAAAGATTTATTATTTGATATAAATGTTTTATGTATAAACTATATATAGGCCTATATATATATATATATATATATATATATATATATATATATATATATATATATATATATATATATATATATATATATATATATATATAATCCAATATCGGCTAGGCCTCTGTTCCGGCTATTTAAAGCCATGTCATTATTTAAAATGTAGTCTCGGGGGAAAATAGTTTAATACTTTACAGAAAACAATTATTTCTCTACAGCATATGTGTTACCATTAAAAACATACGGTGTAGTTTCTTTATAACTATGAAAGCAGCGACAATACTCCTTAATACAAATAACGTACACGTGCATCAATAAGTGAATCCAAACCCACACCCACACCCACACCTCCACCTCCACCTCCACCTACACCTACAGCTACAGCAACACCTACACCTACACCTACACCTACACCTACACCTACACCTACACCTACACCTACACCTACACCTCCACCTCCACCTACAACTACACCTACAACTACACCAACACCAACACCTACACCTACACCTACACCTACAGCTACAGCAACACCTACACCTACACCTACACCTACACCTACACCTACACCTACACCTACACCTACACCTACACCTCCACCTACAACTACACCTACACCTCCAACTACACCTACAACTACACCAACACCAACACCTACACCTACCTTTAACTATATAAATGAAGTTTTCTCACGATTTTTATTCATTGAAACATTGAATAAACTTTATGAACGCCTGGTGACACCAATGAAATACACACTGAAAGTTCGCATTGGTCAGATAATTGACAGATACCTTTGGATGCTATGGGAAACTCAAAACTCCAAGACCTTTATCTTGAGAGTCACTTTCTTGAAGGTAAACACCACACAACTATTCACCAAAATATAATTATCGTCTTCTTTGATATGTGACTTTTTTATATAAATGAATTTAAACAGATTCAAAGTGAATACTATATGAGATGAATGTTCGTTAAACATTCTTGCTTGTATGTTGGGTTATTTTCTCGATGACATCAAAGATGAAAATCTTTACTGTAAGAAAAATATACCGTAAGAGGCATCGAAAATTTGGGGCTGGGTGCAGAGAATGGGAGGGGAGGATTGTGTTCTCCACATCCGTTGACACCCTTCATGTGGTGAAACAACATGTAGCTAATTTTCTGTTTTTTCTTTTTTTTAAAGTTAGTTAAATTAGTTGAATTACCTTAAAAACAAAATGTTCAGTATTTGTCTGTTTGGAATGTCAATACAATTGAGTAAATAGAAGAATGATACAGTGCCTAGCGCGTTGTATTGTATATGCATATAACCAATAAGATAAAATGAAATAGCACATTGATAATAATGTATGTGATTATTTTTGTTATAAAAAATTATTTGCATTCACTGCGTTTACAACATAGGCCCTACATTGCATACGTTTAATGTAAGGAAATGCGAATATTTGTGTGTGAAAATGCTATCATTTTCAAATCTATCTTGATTTAGATGGGATGAGGCTGAGATTGTGATGTGGCACTTTTAAATATTTGTAGAGGCAGAGAACTGAGAACCTTATTGGTTTGTATTTGTTGAAGAGCATCGTTTAGTCTGGTGTTGGATATAGCTTTATGTGATGTTTAATGTTTTGCATTTACAAAAACCCCTTGGTGGTAGTACATTTTTATTTACCATACACACATTTATGTGTGATTTTGGTTTATGGTCTGCTTTTATAGTCTGTTATCCTAATATGGTTTATTTGTTTAGTAAAGTTCATCTCCATGTCCTATACAATTAACCAACTTTACTGTAGTATAAGTCACCTTAGGTTAGTTATCTATGTAGTATATTGCTGATCACAGAATCATAATATATTTGTGAGTTTGGCTAATTAATTTGAAAAAAAAAACTATGTTAAGGTCAATGTTAGATTGAAAGATGCAGATTATTTAGGTACATATTTTAACAGACAGCGAATGTCTGAAAACTGCAAAATCATTTCTTTTTCTATTCTAATGCAGTCATTTTAACCCATTCTCTCCACTCTCAAATATGCCGCGATCTATATGTATATATATATATATATATATATATATATATATATATATATATATATGCTAAAAATTGTTAATAAAAAACCGGCCCCTAATAGACGGGTCTCAAATGTATGGCTTAAAACAAAGTCGCCCGCGATTTGCTGTTGATTGAGTATTTGTCTCATAAAAATACAATTAAAATAAAAGCTGTGTGATATGTACAACATGAGTGTATTGTCCGACATGAGTTAAAGATGCAATAAAAGCATGATGTGCAAAAGGATTAGGTGACAGGGTTTTCTACATCTTATAACATTTTGATAACAAAACGGCAGACACAATAGTAAAAACTAAACGAAGGGTGATTTTAATTAACTATATTGATAAACTAGGCGGGAAACAAAAATTTATGACTTATTTAAAGTAGCAGAAAACGAACGTTCTAAACAGACGTAAAGTCGGAATTATGCATTCGAAGATTTAATTAAAATCTAAACATTTGAATTTTACATTATTTTTAGACGTTTATTCAGTTTTCAAACTTAATTTTTCAAAATAGGCCCACTAAATTAATATGTGCTTTAGATAATTTACTAAATACTCTGTGTATTAACACAACATGTTATCCTGTAATAGCATACACATATGAAATTAAATGTTTTAAATATATAATAATTGTCTTTTTTAAATATTTCAGAATCTCATATGATTGTTACACTTTTAAATTTAAAATTTACCATCAAATTTTTTTTTTTGTTGAAACCGTTTTAATTATCTATAACAAATGTAAAAATAAATAATTCAAGGTTGGTATTTGTTTCATTACATATCTTTTACGGAAATTGTTTTTACAAAAATATATTTTTCTCTTTATAATACATTAACGGTACATATAATTACCAAAGCAATAAAATTAAAAAATCAAAAGTAAAAACCCAAAATTTAACAGCCAGCATTTGAGTATATAAATAACATAATAATATACCTCACTTTAAAATATATTTTTATAACTATACATCCACCTTATCGGGATCGACCATTAATATTGTAAATGTTAATAGTTAAAAAAACAACAACTATTATACTAAAAATCTATTATTGAAAGCACACGTTTCTATTATCTAGATTTCACAATACAAATATTAAAAAAAAACGTGCGTGTTAAGTTTATTTTTATTTTTATTATAGATAAATAATAAAAAATAATGCTAGCGGTTTAGTGATTTTGTTAAAGAAGAAAAAATAATCAAAATTTAAATATTTTTTAAAAAAACAAATTGGATGAGAATTATTGGTTCATTGTGGTATGCCTGTTTGTAAACTTAGTACGTTCAGTGGAAAAAAAAATTTAGTAAAGATTAATGATTTTAAAGATGTAAAAGTTAAAAAACATTTACTTACATTGTTATTAAAACAAAGACGGTACTTAACTCGTAAAGTTAAATTTTATAAGAAAATATCAACTATTTTCATCAAATTGTAAATGTGTATTTTTATCATTCAGGAAAAACATTCACTATAGTAAATTGTTTAGTGTAAAGACATGTAACTTGCACATTCACCATCCAATGCATTTTGTGTTGATGTAAAGATGCCAGATGTGTTACCCGGCTGTTGTAAATGACGTTCTAAACATTGTTTTTTTAACCGTAACATTTCCATCTCCACCTCGTGTTTTTCTCTGACCATTCTCATTTCTGCATCTTGTTTCTCCCTGGCCAACTTCAGTTCCTCTTGTTGTTTTTCTCTTTTTAATTTGATTTCCTCCTGTTCTAGCTTTCTTTTGGAGGCTTGTGATCTTACATAGGGCACCATCTTTCTTTTAAGATGAAATCTAGCTTTCTCAGTTCGGGTGTTTACTTGTTGTCTGAAATAATTAATAGATAAATTAATGTAGTTAAACATTTTACAAATATATATGCTAAATTTTATATTTAAAGAATTAGTGTTTCGTTTATCCATCAACTTTATTGGTTAAAGTTCATTAACAATTAAATTACCTTGCTTTGGGTGGTCGGTGCGACAGATAGTCGGTTTGTTCTAGAAAGAGACACATAATTTTAAAACTACATAACCATACATTATATATATATATATATATAT